AACAAATCTACAAGTGCATTAGAACGGTTTCAAGATCAAATTAGTTCCAATGTCCCAGAAACGAAAGAACGCTATGATTCTATTTTTCACGGATACACTGCGTATGAAAAGACAACCCGGAAAACCTCTTCTTATATGGAAATTCAAAAATCCACCAATTTGTAAGTTTGAAATGAACGGGTGAAGAGATGTGTTCAATTAGTGATCGACGTGCTCACGATTATGCAATCTAAGCTGCATAGTTCCTCTAAGAGATGCCAAGCAGTTCATAAACAAACCAGATTGGGTGTGGAATATGGACCAACAACCTTCAATTAGGAGTGTGCAAAGTAAGAATAGTAAGGTCGGCATCGGTATTAAAGACTTAAAAATCATTTATTTTATAGAATTATTTGCCCCTACAAATGGGTTTAGATCATCATATACAGAGAGAACCACTGAAAATTGTAAAAACAAATTCACTGAGCTCAATAATGATAACAGATACTATCTTACCTACAAACCCGTCGTGGAGGAGCGTATGCCGCCCAACAGGATTCTCTATCGAACCATGTTCTAGCCAATCCTTTCCAGTTACTATTTACCATTTTCATATCTGCTTCCCATTCCCGATGCAGTGCGTTCTTTGCCCTCCCTCTTTTCCGCTTCTCTTCAGGATACCAAGTTAACACCTCGTGACTCAGTCTGGTGTTTTCCACAATGTATGTCCTATCCACTTCCAACGGCTTTTCCTATCTTCCTCTTCAGCTCGAAGCCGGTTTGTTCTCTCTCACAGTAGGTTGTTGCTGATGGCATCCGGTCCATGGACATTCGGTATCTTGTGTGGACAATTGTTTATAAATACCTGTACTTATTTGATGATGGTTTTAGTAGTTCTCTAAGTTTCAGCTCCGTACAATAGAACTGTCTTGACGTTCATGTTGAAGGTTCGGACTTTGATGTTGACTGACAGACAGTTGTTTTGGGTTCCATACGTTTTTCAACTGTAGGAATGCTGTTGTTGCTTTTCTAATCCTTTCATTCACGTCTGAATCGAATCCTCCTTGTTCATTGATGATACTGACCAGACAGGTAAGTGAAAATGTCCATCTGTTCCATAGTTTCTTCACCAAGTGTGTTCGAGTTGGTGCTTTCCGCGCTGTATTTGAGGATTTTTTTCCCCTGTGTATGTTGAGACCTACTGATGTAAAAACTTTAGCTACACTGACTGTCTTCACTTGCATTTGTTCGTGTGTAAAGGATTGACAGGCCAGGTAGTCTGAGAAGTTCAAAACTTCTAGTTGATTCAGAGTTGTCTATTGTAATATGTGCTTCCCCTCAGGTGTCGAGGTCTTCAAAATCCAGTCAACCACCAGAAGAACAAAGAAAGGGGAGAGTAAGAAAACTTTCCTGACTCCCATCCTCACTTGAAATGCATCTGTTAGCTGTCCTTTATGGATGACTTTGCAGTGTATTCCGTCGTATGAATTCCGTATGATGTTGACGATTTTATCAGCCACTAACACCACAGTGTCGAAGGTTCCATAAGGTTCTCCTATCCCCTCTGTCTAATGTTTTCACATAGTCAGGGAAGCTGATCTACAGTGACAATTTCTGTAACGACCGAAATATCAATGTTTGTTTTAACGCAGAACTAACGAATCAAAATTTATTCGTTTAGACCTGACTACATCCATTTGTATAGCATACAAATCGTTTTTGATTTGCTCGTGTTAAATTATATCAAAACACAAACTCTGTGTTCAATTTAAACGGTTCTAATAAAAGAAAGAGAACAAATTATATCAGAAATACAGAATACTTCAAACGGTATAGCCTGTGCTATAAAGTCAGGGGTTTCTTTTACACAAGTTATCGTGTTAAACAACGAAAGAAATAGTTAATGTAAAGGAGTTTAATACGTGTGAATCAACAAAAATATTCTCAACAGGATGGGATCAGATATCTATCTTCGAGTATTCCAGCAAATTTTCCAAGCAGACAGTCAAAGGTTAGCTTAGTTAAACACGACCTTATTGTCAATAATCCGGAAACATGCAACAAAAAATTAGGTGACAAAAGGTAAGTCTTCAATCAAAGTCACGTAATGAAACCTCAGACGAGGAAGACAGAATAACAAAAAGTGCGGTTAAAAGAGATCTGAATAAAGGCTAAAATACGCTGCAAGAAGAAGAAACAAATGTGCGACAGTACTGTCCAATGGAATGCTGTAAAGAGATCTTTAGCGTTTTCTTTCCGTCACAAGTTCGATTTAACTGATTATTCAACGATGAACCGTAGTGCCGCGATTTGGTCTGTTTACTACCGATCCTTACGGGATGCGATCTGTTGATCTGAAGGCTGCTTGTCTGCTGAGTCTTTATTGCGGTTTAGCAACACTCTATCGACAACGTTTCCTGGTATCGATAGTAGTGTGATGCCTCTACAGTACTCACTCTTGTTCAGATCTCCTTCCTTTGGTATCTTGATGAGGTGTCCTTCTTTCTAGTCTGTCTGTGGCATTTATTCATTCTCCCAAATCTTCATCGATAGAAAGTGAAGTATGCTTGCAGTTACTTCTATGTCTGAATTCATAGCCTCGTCTGACATACTGTCAGGTCTTGCTGCTCTTGCGCTCTAGATTTGTCTGACGTCCATACTGATTTCTTACGTCGTTGGTGGAGTGGCGTCTACAGAATGGTCTGTGTGTGCTACATCGATGTTCAATGGGACTGGTCAATTGAAGAGTTCATCAAAGTGTTCCACCCATCTGTTCATCGGTCCTCGAATCTCATTGATCAACCAGCCTTCTTTGTTCATGACTGGTTTCTCTGGCTCACCACATTTCATTGTCAGTTTCTTCGTTGTGTCATATATCTGTCTCATATTTCCTTCTCTTGCAGCTTTTCCCTCCATCGTTGCCAGCCGTTCCACGTATTTCTGGTTGTCGGTTCTAAGGCTCTTTTTCGTTTGTTTGTTTGCTCCAGTGTAATAAGCTTGTGCCTTCACTTTCTGTTCTTGTTCAACTGTTGTTAACTGCTGTCTTCTTGTTCTCCCTTTCTTGAATCCAAGACAAATTTTCCATAAAGATCCATTCCTCAGGATGATGCTTCTTGCGACCCACAACCGTCTAACACGCTGGAGTTAATACTTGTTTGATCCCTTCCCAGTTGTCCTCCGTTTTAGTTTGTTCTTCTTTCAGTAGATCTTGTAAGGCTTGGAACTTGTTGTTGCGAGTTAACATGAGTTCGGTGAGTTTGTCAGTATCTGGAAGGAAGGCTGTATTGAAACTTCGTACTGCTGTTTCCCCATCTGTTCAGTGTTTCTTTAGCTTTAGCTTCATCTTGACCACAACTAGGTGGTGATCTGAATCCATGTCAGCCCCCTTCCTAGTTCTCACGTCTTCGATTGTCCTTGTGAATTGTTTATTGATACAAATATGATCTATATGATTATTCGTGGTGTGATCCAGTGAGACCCATGTAGATTTGTGTATGCGTTTGTGTGGGAATGTTGTGCCACCTATAACCAATTTGTTGAATGTGTAGAATTATGGTCTATAATGATATTAGTGCTGCTCTAATAATAGACCTAATCCTAAAATGGTAGATTTTTCATTATATAACTGCCTAATCTATAAAATCTTACATGGAGGTCACATCATCGTCTACATCAACTCACTGTATCGTAACAGGTACCAATACATGGTAGAGAGCAAGCTTAGGCTAGAGAAAGGACAAAATGAATAAAAGATATAAGGCAACATTCCGCAGGGACCACGCCTGCATGGCCGAGCCATACCATCTGATCAACTCCTATTTATCCAACCCATCGCTCCCTCCTTTTTCATCGTTAGGTGTTTTTGAATATATATTTTCCGCATAGTCTCGTGTTCAGCTTTGAGGATTGTGTGGTTATGGTCCGATACCACTACAAATGCACACAGGTTTGCAAGTCTCTTCCGATTTTCATTTCTCTCTACCAATCCATGTCGTCACATGATACCTTCATACCCGGTGTTGTCCATTCCGACTTTGGCATTTAGGTCTTCGATCAGGATGTTGAGATCCTTTCTTGGACACTTCTCTGTAATTGATTGGAGCTCCTTATAGATCTGATCTTTAATGTCGTCGTTGCTATTATTGGTGGGTTCATAATACTGGACAACATTCAACATGATTCCCTCCTTGCTTGTTTTGAAGGATGCTTTGGTGATACTGGATCAGTAAGATTCCCATCCTATAAGTGCAGTACGTGCTTGTTTGGACAGCATCAGAGCAAGTCATTGAGCGTGTGGAGCATTTTCCTCTTCGTGATCAGAGTATAGCAGCATCTCTCCCGTATCTAGCCCTTGCTTTCCAACTTGGGTCCAATGGGTTTCGCTGTTTCTCAGTACTACTAATTTGTATCTCCTCATTTCAGTTGCTATTTGACTGGTCTCACGGTATCCCACATTGTCCGGACGTTCCAAGCACATATAAAAATTGTTGTTCTGGTTGTTAGAAGGGGCATCAGCCTCGTGGCTTCCGAAGGAATTCGGCTTTCACCAAGAAGCGTTATAATTCTTTATTCCGCTCCTAGGGGAGAGTTTGAGTGGTTGAATTTGTTTAATCTGGTTCACATTTTTTCGGAAAGATTTTTTCACGCGATGGTGTTGTCGATCCCATGCTCGACCCACCTCCTCTACCTAGGCTTGTGATCAGAGTAGCTATCGAAGAGATGGTGCTGATGAAACGTAGTCAGGAGCCTCGTAGATGTTGATGACATGAGCGTTGTTGTATTTGTCGAGGTGTTTTAGATAGCATCTTAAACCCAAGTAGTCGATAATTTTGTTTGAAAACTAAAAACATGCTTCGTTAGACCAACATAAGACTATAGTGGTGTAATTTATTCATCAGATAGTTCTAAAATAGACCTTAAGAGCAAGATTTTCATATTTTTGTCCAAAAAGTCCAAAAGTACTTGCGTTATTGAAAGCTTTGTTAGAATGCTTCCATTTTAGTTATTAACCTTGTAGAGTTGATTTCCCCAGTTTGATCGAACTATGTGAATTGCCCTGGCTACTATGGTGAGTTTTTCTCTCACTAGTTTAGCACACATGAATTTTGTAGCGTATTCATCCACATAATGATACGAGTGTACAACCTACTCTATGGGGAGATTTACATATTCAGACCTGATCCAAACTTATGATATAATATCGGAAGTGTATAACTTTTTTTATAGATCATACAGAGATCCAAACACCTCACTTCCCGATAGAAGATTCCGAGAGTTAGTCACATGGTAGGAAATACTGTATTCCTCAGAATATGGACTTTTAAGATTGCTTGCTTTGTCATCTAAGTCCTCTTGTCCTTCGGTCTTTGGTAGTAAGGATAGGTCAATCGACCCATGTTAGTCCTTACAGTTTGTAGTACTGTAAAGATCAAGTCTCGCTTCGAATGTATCAAAAAGGTGGTGATATTACGTGTTCTGATAGAGAATTTCAGTTATTTAGCGTTCGGAAGGAACAGTAAATACTGTCAGCTCAAATTCATTTAGTATCATGGACGTCACAGTCGAGTCGCCCCATAATTTGCAGAAAGATGCTTCAGATATTTCCACTCCTGGAGCCAAGCATCTCCGAACTTGATTGGGTACTTGCCTTGATGTTTACACGAGATTTGAATATTTTAAGCATTTACAGTGCTCGATGTCTTAGTTTCAACCCTACTGAGGTTTTGTTAGGTGTAATGGGCACCCTTTTCGTCCATCTGTAAATGTTAATCTTAAAACATCCTGCTTCAAAGCTTCTAGCTGGATCTTAGGGTAAACGATTGTAATTTAGAACTAACAGCAATAACCCACAAACTTTGTGTGTGGTTTCACTTTTGTGTTCGGGCCACACGAAAACAGCTGGATTGGTAACTTTTGCTCATGTCTAGCAAAGCACCGTTATTTGCCGTGACACTTGCATGTTTCGATGGCATTGGCGTAATTTTGCACTGAGGATTTGATGACACTTGAAAGTTCGTTGATATGAAAATGAATAACGATATATCTAGCACATATATACATATATTTGTAGAGAAAACCTGCTATCTATTCCCACATCGCGGTTTTTCTTTGGTCGAAATGTTTGTTTACTGGTTTTACTTGGTAAATCGTTAATAAGTGTTAGGAATATCACTAGTAATTGTTTCTAAACATCTGGACTAACGCAGAAAATCGGTTAATTTATGCTAGCACATCACAAAGACACTAAGTTTCAAGTGATTTTCATGCACAGAACTGGTGGAGCGTCTGTTCCGTTAAAAAAACGTAAACCAAAGATTAGAAGAAACTTTCAGATAATAATAGCACAACCCTCTATTATTTTGATGCCTGGTCTACGCTTGAACCGCTCTACGTAGGTTACATTAATCTCAAAATGTAAATGCTCTACGAATGGTCGCTTCTTTAGAATGCAAAGAACCTTCTACGTTATCTAGGCCTTCTTATCTTACCACTCTAAGTAAGTATCAACACATGCTAAGTGTACAGACCAACTTATTTCAGTTCTATACAATTTTTAATAGTCTCTTAAGGGAAAGCTCAAAGATTATAGGTACCGGAAATCCTTGCCTGTAAGTTTTAAGGATAAAGCATTTAGGGAATAAACTAGATTAACCTCGATTTTTTAAAATCAAATTATAGAGGCAAGTAATTTGGACTCACACTGTACCCCCCTCCGAGTATAATTATTTGGCTTCGTACTGAACGATTGACAGGTGAGATTTTAGTCGAGTTTTGTAACCATAGGGATAAAATCTATTGCATCTCTGAATAGCCTAGGGTTATGTATCAATGTGAGTGTTCTTTACATCAACATTCCTACTGATAAGATTCAAAATCTTCATACACTGAGATGATTAATAGTAATAGTAGTAGTACCGCACTGGTCATTGTTTTGTAATTTTCTACATATCTATATAAATATGTCAACACTTTCCTCAACGAATCCGGTATTGAGAAGTTTGACAAAGTTTATTGCTTTCCCATGATTTCCTGGTGACATATCTCGTCACTATTCAATCGCAAACTTTTATAGTTCCACGAATTGTTTCAGGTTTTTTGGATAAACAAGTTGCTACTCATCTTGTTGATGACCTTCCACGGCGCTTCATTAATATATGGAGCTCATTCTTGGACGCCTACTCACCTATCATCTATCTCTAACTCATCCTTAATCGATGATCGTGATGCAGATCCTTTTCGGTTAAGTTATATCAAAGTGGGATTGGCAGCAGCTTTTTTTTTCACTGTGCTTGTTTCGTGTGGTCTGCCAGTTTTATTGATAAACTACCTGAAAGAACGAAATAGTCTATCATTATTCAATAACAATCGAAGATTTCATTTGGGTAAAGTGCAACATAGTGGGTCAGACCAAGTTAAAGTAGAAAATAGGGATGATGACATTAGATTTCAATACTGTGATCTAAATTTATCTCCACCTTCAGGAAGGAGTCCTGTAAATATTTCTAGTGGTGAAGTGTATGCAGATAACAATGTTTCATGGAACCGAGCTCCGTTTCAACAACAAACTTCGGTGGAATCTGAAAGTTTATCCACTTGTCAAAGCCCTAATCCTGCATTAATTAACGGAGACCAGTTTGAAAACAGAGATTTACTTACTGGTCAGGTGGTCCATAATGAGCGGAACTGGGCCAGTTCATTTAGGATTCAAGATCGAATACGTGGTCGTAATTTAAGTGATCACTCTATTATACAGAATCGAAGAGATCATCAGAAACAAGAGAAACAAATGTCATCTCGAAAAGTTTGTCTTTCATCAGGAACAACGCGTAAAGAAGCATTACAAGCTTGGTTTAGTCGGTGTAATTGTTTTGCCGCTGGAGTATTCTTATCTTCAGGTAAACCTACACAAAATATTTGCTTATTTCTATGAGTTGCTCTGTCGTGTTACCATGAATACGAATTCGGTTATTTTTTAGGTATACGGAAAATGCAGTTAAAATTCCAAATGTCATATGGTAGACCAAAGTGTGGAACCTAACTGGTGATTTATTAAGTTAATTTGTGTTCACCTTGATACTTGTGAAGCACTAAATAAATCCCAACTAATTACTAAGGTCTTTTTATAAATACAGAATAAAGGTTACATAGTAATACTTCATATTTTTGTACATACTAATAAAATCCTATCATACCAATAGTATTAAGTAAGGTATTTTTTCATAACTAGTACTGCGGCAATATTCTGGTCATGTTACATGTTATATACATATCACGAGTAAACCTTTATGTTATAGTTCACACAATATTTTTACTAAAACTCAGTTTGGTGTACTCGGGAGACCATAGAGTAATTATGCGTCTTAATTCTTCTAGAGTTTAGTAAGAAAAAGGGTTTACAAAAACACAGAAAGCAATAATTAATAGAGTAGATTTCATAGGTTTACACTTACACTCCCAACCATTTAGAAAATAGCATACACGATTGTATTGTTATAGGTGGTTGCAAAACGTATCGTTCTGTCTCAAAACAATCATTAGTATTGTACTTCCAAAGTTTATTTTGCCATTTTGTACATTTTCAAATGAGTTAGACCAAATCTCAGGATTTCTTCCCATGTTATTATGCATACCGACAGTTTTTTGCCTTGAAATTTCATTTTATCCCAGCTTGTTATGTAATTGATGTGGTGAACTATTGAACAAATAAGTGGTATGTGTTCAACCACCATTAGTTGGTACACGTCATTGCATCACTTAGTTGAAGTTCTCAACGACCTCCGAAATTGCTTAAGTGCATTCATACTTAATACCCCGGCCAAAAAATTAAAAGCACGAAACACTGGTTGTTGTCCTTAGCAGTGACTAAATGGTTCAAAATGAGTTGTTACCACATGTAAAACAATAATCTGTTCATGTTATTGGCGAAATCACATGTAACTCTCACTAGTTTATATGATATCAGAGAAGTTGACACCGTTAATGCTTACACGTCGGAATACATCAAACATATGTAATTTCTCACATTTTCAAATTTATTAAGGTTTATTTTACATGGTTAGCTTTTCTGGACGATTTTCACTTCAGTTCAAAAGTTCTGGTTTGTGTAGATTGTTAATGATGTTTAGTTTAACAATGCTCTTTTATCTCAAGGCATTCAAAGTTTTGTTTAGAAAATCACGAGTCTAAATAAGTAACCTACCATTTTCATTTCTAATTACCCACCTCTATTCATGTTTGGTTTACAATTACTGAAGTGTTACGGTTTAAATCTATTTACTTTTTTATGTAATGTGGAGATTTAGTGTCACTAATAACTAACCCGGTTGTTTCGCTTAGAAGTAGTCTCAGTGTTGCCGGTCCACTCACTCTTTGTCTTCCATCCAATCCTAAGTCTCGAAATCTTATTCTTTTCTCCTTTATATACACAATGTTTTCCTACTATTATTGATGCTGTTACTACTTCTACCATTCTAGGATTTGTCTTCATAATTTCATTTCGCTGTGTTAATGTGGTGCGGCGACTTAAACTGATGTACATATTGATCAGCTTCTAGGTTGTATATTATTGACACCAATTTTAATTCTAAAGTCGCTTAATAGATATAAAGACGATCATTTTCATTTACCAATTACTTAACAGTAAACTGCAGAATGTTTTTTTGTTTGTATACAGTATTAAGCTACTCATTGTATTAAATATTTAATTTGTATAACTCGTGAACTGCAAACACGAGAGAATCAAGCTGGCTTCAGACCTGGTCGTGACTGCATCGACCACATATTCACCATTCGTCAGGTCCTAGAACACAGGCATACTTATCGGCGTCCGACAATGGTGGTCTTTCTTGACTTAAAAGCAGCATTTGACTCTGTAGACCGCGAGATTCTGTGGCAGTGTCTGTCATTGAAAGGCGTACCTCAGAAGTACATAAACCTTGTGAAGGCTCTTTACTCGAACATTATTAGTCGAGTCAGAGCTTATGGCGAACTGTCATCTGCTTTTGCAACCTCAAGTGGTGTCCGTCAAGGCTGTCCACTTTCTCCATTTTTGTTTAACTTCATCATAGACCTATTGATGGAAATAACATTCTCGTCTACTGAATTCTCGGGTATTGATCTCCTTCCATGAGGTCCACTTATCGACTTAGAATTCGCGGATGACATAGTCCTGTTTGGTGAAGACGCTGATAAAATGCAGAGTCTTCTGGTAGCACTAAGCAACAATGCCAGAATGTTTGGAATGCGCTTCTCTCCCTCGAAATGCAAGTTGTTGCTTCAGGACTGGCCTGCGTCAACACCTGAACTAAGGATAGGGAGTGAAGTAGTGGAACGCGTTGACAACTTCACTTATCTTGGAAGTCTGATCAGCCCTAATGGGTTGGTGTTTGACGAAATCGCAGCACGGATTAGAAAAGCTCGTTTGGCTTTTGCCAACTTACGTCACCTATGGCGAAGGCGAGATATCCGTCTATCAATAAAAGGACGAGTATACTGCGCTGTAGTTCGTTCTGTTTTAATTTACGGCAGCGAAACATGGCCATTAAGAGTAGAAGACACTTGTAAGCTGGCATCTGCTGGGATCACCGGGTAAGTAATAGTGAGGTTAGGCGCAGGGTATTAGGGAAGGATGGTAAATCAGTTGATGAGGTTGTGAATCTTCATCGACTGAGATGGTTGGGTCACGTGTTACGTATGCCCGAACACCGATTACCACGATGTGCAATGCTAACCGGTGTTGGAGATGGTTGGAAGGAAGTTAGGGGCGGCCAAACCAAAACGTGGCATCCGTGCTTGAAGTCACTAACCTCTGGTCTGAACCATGTTGGTAGATGCAGACTACTTGGTTAGGGTCCGCGTGACTATCGTAACCAATGGTTGGAGACTCTTGGTGACATGGCTCAGAATCGATGACAGTGGCGTAGGTGTATACACTCTGTCTTTCCTTAAACTAAGAGATTAAAATTGCTTCGTATCTTTCTTTCTACGAACTAATTCTTTCTTCCTGTACTATATCCTTATTGCAATCTTTCTTTTATATATTACTACTACTACTAACTACTTTTATGAATCCGGTGTTGATCTTGTTGTGTTAATGAGGTATGGCAACTTGAACCGATGCATATATGTGCCTGGTCCTACGTTGTAGCTGACTGACTGAGAACGAAATAATTGACTTAAATATTTCGAAGAGACTTATATGATGGGCTGCACTTACGCCTGTTACCCGTCTTGCAGGAGCGTATACCACCCAACAGGATTCTCTATCGAACCATGTTCTAGCCGATCCTTTCCAGTTACTATTTACCATTTTCATATCTGCTTCCCATTCCCGATGCAGTGCGTTCTTTGCCCTCCCTCTTTTCCGCTTCTCTTCAGGATACCAAGTTAACACCTCGTGACTCAGTCTGGTGTTTTCCACAATGTATGTCCTATCCACTTCCAACGGCTTTTCCTATCTTCCTCTTCAGCTCGAAGCCGGTTTGTTCTCTCTCACAGTAGGTTGTTGCTGATGGCATCCGGTCCATGGACATTCGGTATCTTGTGTGGACAATTGTTTATAAATACCTGTACTTATTTGATGATGGTTGTAGTAGTTCTCTAAGTTTCAGCTCCGTACAATAGAACTGTCTTGACGTTCATGTTGAAGGTTCGGACTTTGATGTTGACTGACAGACAGTTGTTTTGGGTTCCATACGTTTTTCAACTGTAGGAATGCTGTTGTTGCTTTGCCAATCCTTTTACGCTTGACAGTGTGTATAGGAGAACCTTATGGAACCTTCGACACTGTGGTGTTAGTGGCTGATAAAATCGCCAACATCATACGGAATTCATACGACGGAATACACTGCAAAGTCATCCATAGAGGACAGCTAACAGATGCATTTCAAGTGAGGATGGGAGTCAGGAAAGTTTTCTTACTCTCCCCTTTCTTTGTTCTTCTGGTGGTTGACTGGATTTTGAAAACCTCGACACCTGAGGGGAAGCACATAATACAATTGACAACTTGGATGCAACTAGAAGATTCGGACTTTGCAGATGACCTGCCTCTTCTATCCCAGGGCTGTGCTTACACTGATTTGAACAAAATTCCGATCAGATCACCCATAGGCTTTTCACCAGTGTAGTACAACAGAAAATTTCCACTAATGATTTTACTTTTATGAATACCATGTTTGTATTAGTTTCGATTTTGGAATAATTCATTGGATCACTTAGTATCTATCTGGGTGAGGCTAGCTGTATGCTTTTGACTGCGTAATTCAGAAAAAATTATATCAAAACTTTGTAAATAATATTCACAACATATAATTCAATATTTTTAGAATTCTAAGGATTATAAATTGAAATACCTTATTAAAAAATACTATACATGAAAGTTTACTAGAAAACATACTAAATACTTATTTCATTTGGTTTGCATATGCAGCCTTATGTCATTACCTCTATAAGTACATTTCTCTAGTCTTGCTCGTCTTTCTCCTTTGAGTCTATAGCCTGGTGGTCTAGTTCAGAAGTTAGTATAAGAATGTTAGGAGGTGCAATTTTACGACAAATGGTGACCAAAATTAGGTTGGTACTCCACTGGTTCCATCGGGATTTCAAAGCCAATTTATACCATTCGTCTGAAATCAGTATTCAGAGACTTCTAGGTAGACCCTCCGCATCGACTAAACCAGTTTTAGTGCCAGAATTTTATTTGAAACTTTATCAGGTATAGCTCTGAATAAAAACCAGTGGCATTCAGTGTAGTTTTTATTGTTCTTCATAAAGTACAGCTTAACACATTATCTGATGTATCCTCCCATTCAGTAGTTGTAAAACGTTTTCCTCTACTATTTCTCCTCAGTATTAGAATTCTGTCATGTGTGGCTCGTTTTTCAAGTGTTCTGTTGTATCGGAGTTTTTGTGTTTTAAATAAAATTTTATAGAAAGGATATTTCCCAGTTGCTAAGTCAATCACACGTTACAACAGTGGCGATGGGCAATCAGAAAACAATGTTAGTTGGTCCATACTGGGAGTTTCAACAACAGATGAAACCGACGAAAGCTGTGACGGAATGTCTGTATGTCATGACACTAAGTTAGCCTGTTGTATCCTGCACTACATCACCAACTGAACAAGGCGTTAATACGATACCTAAATTTTTCTTTGATCCAGTTGTTAATATTACTTAATAATATAATCGTATATATATATTCTGAAAATAATAGTTACAGAATTCATGCAAGTTTACAGGAATGGTCAGCTTGATTCATGTTTTAAATGTTTTGAAGATTTATTCCGTGTTGAATTTGTTGACCGAAATAACACACGAAAAGTATGACTACTACTTTGCAGACTCCGTGTCAGAGAAAGTAACAAGTGCTCAAACTTTATATTGCCATACTAGTCACAGGATCGATACAGTAATGACATTGTCCCAGAATTTTGAAAGGAAGTCTTCAATTTTTAATACGTAATATCATTGTGTAAAGCTGATCAAACAAAAAACTGGTGACTTTGCCTCTGATTCAGGTATTAATAACAGGATGTATGCGCTTTGAGCCACGGTTGCTTGCAAATGACCTATTCAAGCGTCTTATTTTTGCCTGTGAACTGTAATTGCTAAGAGATGCTGATATCCGTCCACATCTGTGTAAAGGTGAGCAAACCTTCTTGATAACGATACAGATAGCTACTGAGAGATTGTAGCTACTGCTACGCTCGAAACATGACACATTGCAGTACACGCGGTCTTAACTTCAAGATAATCACTCATCCACCCTCACTCCGCAAATTAACAACGGGGAAACACCTCCATTAACATGTTGGGACTGCGGCGGATGGCGTTTCGCCAATTTTTGTCACCTGTTTGTTTCACTGTAGCATTAATATTTTTCATTCGCTTAACCAAGTACAATTTGGAAAAAAATAAGTGTTAGAAAAATTGGGAACACTCATTATAAACTTTTGTATTTACTTACATTTATGTGTTTTTATTTTTTAAAAAGGTTTTATGGAACTTTATCCCGACACTGAAGAAGCTATAGCAGAGGCAAAAATTCAGTTACATATTAAATCTGAATTCCCATTCGCTCCATTTTTAACTCTTGTTGGATTCTTTCTGGTTTTAAGCATTGAACAAATTATATGGACAACAAAATCAAATCAATGGACATGTTGTTCGAGAAGAAATCTTAACACTAGTCAAGCATTACATCGTGATTCATTACATTCGAATGAAAATGATTATAATTTTGAAAGTAATGGAAATTTTTACCTTGATGACAATAATAGCAATAACAATGTAAAACATAATGAGATTACTGCAAATCACAAATTATCCTTGGAGGACTCACAACAGAATAACATTGGATATTTATCATCTAAACTTATGAAAAGTAATGCCAAGAGGCCATCGAAATTATCCAATGCAACAAATACTTCAGAATTGACTGCAGTCGATTGTTCACCTACATCATCTACTCATTCTGGGAATGATTTTCTTCTAGAATCCAATATTACAAGAAACCACGTCGAACACACTGGCCACTGTCATGATGATAATAATAATGATGATCATAATGCTCATCATCATTCTCATACTCATGATATTAAATTTGATACTAGCTCCTTTGGATCAGTGTTACGTATTGTTCTACTTTTATGCGCTATGTCTGTACATTCAATATTTGAAGGTTTAGCAGTTGGTCTTCAACCTACAACACAACGTACTCTTGCCTTATTCACTGCTATTTTATTACATAAAATTATCATAGCTATTGGAATTGGTGTAAATTTAGCTACAAATTTAAATCAACCATCAACATCTTCAGGTTCTTCATTTCCATCTCGATCTTCCTATTGTCGTCTTTTTATGTATCAATCTATTGGAACATTAATTTTAGCTTGTTCATCACCATTCGGTGTTCTTGTTGGTTGTGGTTTAATGCAACAAAAACAATCACCAATATTGACAATGTCAACTGCTGTACTTCAAGGTTTAGCTTGTGGAACATTTTTCTTTGTAGTATTCTGTGAATTATTACCAGTTGAATTTAAAGAAGGTGTCAAAGATAGGATGGGAAAGTTTTTTTTCTTATTACTTGGATTTGCAGTAGTTGCATTATATGCTTTTTTAATGCCTGAATAAACATTGTTTATTCATTGTATGAATTTATTCTTTGTTACTTTTTAAAAGAAAATTACTTCGCGCCCAATTTTATGAACCATTTATAATCAATTACATTTATAGTCTTTATCAGCTGTGTATACGTTTCTTTTATTATTTTCTTTTTTTTTCATTACTTCTCTTTAGTTTATTTGTTCTTCTCTTAGTTGTATGTTAAAATCAAATTAAATGATAATAAATTCTACTTTAAGTTGGATAATTATTTTTGAACTGTAACTTTCTTCACTTGGTATTGTTTTGCTTGTATCTTCCTATTGAGGTTTAAGACTGCAATTGATCAGTCTGTTAGCCACTATCCATCTTTGCTTGTAACTTTCTTCGCTACGAACTTTTTCTCTTTAATTGTCTAAATTTCTTTTTATAAATGAATTCATTATCTCTATCTATTACTTCTAATTTATTTATGTATCTGTCTAACTAGGTACATTATTTCTTTTCTTTCGCATAAAATTTTAATTGATCAGTTTCTGTGCATATTTATTTTCGATAGTTTACTTTATATATACATGATCTCTGGTAATTTTTTTTCTGAAGTACAATTCAAAGTACTGCTTTTGGTGTCTGTTTTTTTTATTATCGGGATATGTTTCTCCTGTTGGAGTTTGATTATTTATTTGTGTGTTTGTGAATATCTGGAATAAATAGAACACCTGATTTGAAAGAAAGTTGTGTTTATCCTTTGATAATTATTTTTGAAATGACATTAGTCTTTGTAGTAGTCACACTAATTAATATTTTGTTGGCCTTTGCCAACTTGCGTTACCTGTGGTGTAGGCGGGATATTCGTCTACAAGCCAGAGGACAAGCTTACTGCGCAACGGTATGCCTCATTCTTCTTTATGGATGTGAAACATGACCATTAAGAATAGAGGATTTCAGCAGGTTAATAATAGTAATCGATCGTAGGTGTCTTCGATGCATCCTTTATTATTATTATTATTATTATTATTATTATTATTATTATTATTATTATTATTATTAATGGCTTTATTCATGCACTTTGGGAGCACTGAATGAACAACCCAAGGTTAGGCGTTCGATATTAGGTAAATATTGCAAACTGGTTGATGAGGTAGTAAATCTTTATCGATTAAGGTGACTGGGATACATATGCCCAACCACGGCCCACCTCGATAAGGGATGTCTGATACTTGAGTAGGTTGGAAGAAAGTTGTTGGAGGCCAATTAGTTCACGAGATCAATGACAGTTGTGATGAGGCGTGTTAACAGGTGAAGACTACCCAGTTGGGGTCCACATGATTATCGCAACAGGTGGTTAGAAACTTTGGGTGATATGACGCAGAATCATCCTAAATGGTGCAAATGCGTCAATTCCTTGTCTCCCTCTAGAACCTGAGTCTTGAAATTCCACTTTTTTTCTATACCTAGTCTTTTCTACTACTACTGATACTGTCACTGCTACTTTTCTGGGATTTATCTTGAAATAATTTTATCTCGATTGGCTGATATGGTATGGCAACTTAAACCGATGCACATGTTTCAGGTTCTCTGTTACGTATAACACTGATATTCTGTTAGCAGTTCATCAAAGTAATCTAGGTATTGGGTAGTATTTTACCTTAGTTAAGATTTAACTGATTAACTTTCAGCTTATAGATTGATATATAAGACTTCAATCATTCAAACCAAACGGCTATGATCACTTAATTGAAAAGACTAGAAATAACTGCTAAGTGACTTGACTATCAGGTCATCTAACTTAGTAGTCGTGTTGTAGCATGTTCGATATGATTCTGCCAACACTTAGTACTAAGGAATGTGATTTTGGATTCTAAGAAGTGATCATTTAGTGTAGGGTCATTCTCTGAAATGAAATAATCTTTATAATCAGTCAAAAATCAAAAGAGTAATATAGTCTCGATAAACTTGTAAATTACAAACTATAAACACGAAATAACAGGAAGATGTGGATAAATAATTGAAATCCAACTGAAAAACATTGCACACGAGTTTCATTCATAAATTAGACCTTAATGGAATCGGGGTAAGAGGAGATAAGGATAATAATAAGAGTAATTTACTTGAACGTAAACTCTTATATAGTTGATTTGGGAATATGTGACTCGACAGACATGATTTATCGAAGTTAGATGAACTTGTCAACCTTAACTGTAAAATTGTATCGGAAGGCATGAAACTGAACTTCTATAAATCTTAATGGAATCATTTTTAAAGATAACTTCATAACTAATTTGCACCAATGCAAATTTTGTGTTTATGTTATTAAATTAAAAATGAAGAATTCACGCTTGAAACCATTTTTTCAACGTATACTATATATATATCTCTATACACAAAAAAAAATCATGATATCATTTGATTTGTATTGGTATAAATCCAGAACAAAAGTATAATCGGTAAACTATATTACTTCATTTATTATATGAAATACATACTTATAGTGTTTGGATGGAATTTCGGACAATAGTTCATTGCAGCACACAACTGTTTACAACTTAATTTTCACAAACGTTTCATAAGTGTTTATAATTCCCTTCCAATTATTGTAATATATTTTTAACTAAGTTAAATAATTAATAAATAATCTATTTTTCATACTTACATCGTTATATTACAACATGTGTTTTCAACTTCTAATGGGTATGTGTATGTCGTCTGTGTGCTTAAAGTATTCAACTTTCAATCGTTAGATTGCAGGTAGAAGAATCTTTCACATCTTCATCTGTTTCTGCAACCAGATAGTCTTCATGCAAAGCCGAATATGTAATTTTGAATTTGATGAATAAATTACAATAATTCCTAAATTCATTTGGTTTTTTTTTCGTTGGTAATTTAGCACCTCTATGTGTGTTCCAGTAAATGTTAAGAAAAATCTCATCATTAATGTTGAAAATCTGGTTTATACTTGATATATTTCAAAATTATGGGACGTCTAGTAAACTTTGCCCTGTTTCATGTGCTATTTAGACAAAAAATAGTATTGTTTGTATTGCTTGTTACTTTCTATAAAGCAAATATTCATTTTCACTATTTTATGATTATTACTGCCCATTGTATCCAGTAATTAAATTATCTAGGTTATTTTTCAAAATAAACCAGGAAAATAGGTCTACTACTTTTTTGACACAATTGGTATATGATGTTAGTCGTGAACAGAAGGTCTGGCAGCAAAGAAACAAGAGGATCGAACAGTAAAGAATGGAAACAAAATACAATTTGTATGTAAATTCAAGAACAATGAAGTCTGAGTCATTTTGAGACAACTGGTGGACATTTTGCAAATTAAGCATTTACTTTATGATTGTTAGATTTTATTAAAAAGTCCTGTAATTTTGTGCTAAGTATATTTGATTGTCCCCACCCGTGTTCTGTTCACTACGGTATTACTGACTGCGAACGATGTGATGAAAGGCGCAAGATTAGCATTATCAAATAGGAAGCAGTGAATAGTTGCTTCGTTCTAGTTTGTATCTCATCAACTGTACACACAAACCTCCCACTTAGTAATAGTTGTTCCAGCCCCAGTGACTTGCTTTGGAATACGTTTCTGATTTGCTAGTGAAGAGTTGTAGCTAGTGGTGTTTGAGAATGTCGAGTATCAGCCAGTTATCCACCGACGATATTTGTCGGTTGTTACATTGTAGTGGCTTAGCTTCGTTAATCATTCACCTTGGTAACCGTTGCTACATAAATGCCAACGGTGTTTGAAACCAAAAGGCAATAAGAAGCGGTGACTACAGTTTTTTAGCGGACAGCACGGATAACAAAGCTACAAGCACATCGAGCAAGTTTGAAGCAGAAAGGCGAATGAGTGTATGCGAACCAATACAAATGCAAATTTATAGTCAAGTCGAATAAGAAGCAGCTAGGCAAGGCAAAGGCTAATAATAGGATTCGAGTACATATATACATTATAGAGAGAATAACTCATCGAGCGATATTTAAGATATTAACATTTAAGCTAGAGAGATATGTGCGTAGGCTATCATGTGATCAGTCGTACACGTTTATGCATCAAGATAGTGATCATAATAACACAAAGAAATATGCAAATTGTTATGTTCAAATAACATTGTCTGTTAAGTAATTTAATAAAATGGTTTAACAAAAATTAGCTATAATTGAAATTGATTATAGGGGAGTTGCTATAACACTATACTGCAAATAGATAGAGGACTTGGTAGTCCTATTATGAATCCGTTGCTACGCGATCTGAAGGTCCAGGGTGAATCATATATAGACAATACAGTGGGGTCCTAGATTAGAACGAAATGATTTTCTACTACTTCTTATATCTTAATCATTCTCTAGCTAATGTTAGTCTATTACGAAAACGATCTTTAAATAGGATTGATCTCCACAAGCCTATCACCTTAAAAATGAGTAGACTGACTTTATGCATAGTTTGACTTACTGATGATTTATAATTTCACTTGATACAAAATATATTAAAAAGCATGACTGTTTTATCCTTACTGTATCAGCTGACGATCGAACATTTTTCTAACAGTTAATATCTCCACAATACCTACTTACGATTGAACACAGGGTTGAGCGTATTCCCTGAAGGTCTCATGAATAACACTATCATTAGGTTATTGAGTAAATATATATGGTGGTTTATATTTCCAAGTTTAGTAATTTGACGATGTAACATGATTAAAGTAGTCCAAAATGATGGTAAAATTTATTTCCCGGTTGAAGCGAATGCTGTAAAAGAATTATTATGTAATTCCAAATTTTTACTATTGATTACTTCTTACTGCAATTCTTTTTAAAACTAAATATTTCAATTGGGTCTGTTGTGAGATAGCAACTCACTGCAGATAATGGTGGACGGTGGCTCAATTTTGTGGATTAGTCGAATGCCATCTCAGTGGTCTAGAGGTCAAGCACTCGCGCGCGAGACCAAAGGTCCTGTGTTTGAGTCCCGCGAGTGAGGTCGTGGATGCCCACTGCTGAGGAGTTCCACACTGGGACGAAACGGTCGTCCAGTGCTTCCGAGTTTTCTATGATCCAGTTTTAATTAAACTCATGAACTCAACTATAAGAACTTTTGTTGGTATTTCGCTAAGAGTTTAAGAGTAAAAGTATAAAACGACTACAGATAATCCAGTTTGTTGATATAACATGTAATCTTGAGTTTCGAGTAGTCATCTGAATACATTTATAACTATATTATCGCTTGTATCAAGCTTACTTCTTATCTGGTTCTATGTCAGTATTAAACAATGTATCAGTTAGTTGTTGAAAAATATACAGTCCTATGTAAGAAGAAAAATAAAGTTTTCTGGTCTTAAAACTGTACCAGATTCTGTTTTACTGATAAGTTCAGAATAAGTTGGCTTTATGAGTGATTGTGTTTCTAATCGAATATATATACATAGATGGTTTGTCGTAAGGTAATTAGGATGGTTTTGTACTTCAATGCGTACCGATTTCTATAGATCATAAACCAAACTGTAACTCTTAAGTTAGCCGATGTGACAGTTTATTGTGGTTAGTCTTGTGGACTTCGTTTGTGGAACGTAAACATTTTCAAATTAATTCAAAAGACAAAAAGAATATAGTGTTATAGTATCTCCTCTGCACTTCAGTCTGTATACTTTTAATTTTGTTAAGCCTTTCAATTTACTTATTTAACAGGCAGTATCGTTCAGTCAGTAACAATATGTTTATGTCTTTGTATTATTATGATCACGTCGGTATTAGCACGTATGCTTGGTCACGTTTTACAGCTTATCAATATATTTCCCTTACTAGCTTAAATGTTAATTACTTAAATCGCTCGATGTTTCATTCAGTTTCCTATACATCTGTATGAGCTTCTTAAATCCTGTTCAATTATTCGTTCGCATTCATTTGAATTATCATTTCTGTGTGTATTTGCTTCATGTGTTTGTGGCTTTAATATTTATGCTGTGTAATGATAAGCTATAGTCAATGCTTCATTTTTTCTTGAAAAT